CCCCCCCCCGAGTGAGTAGAGTTAGAGTTTATTTCCTTTTCTTCTCTCAAAATTGGTTTTACTAAAAATTAGAGTTAACCACTAGTCCATGTGGAAGAATGGCCCTTCTTATTATTATACTACTATATTGTTTTGTTCTTTTCTTCCCATCTAAGTAAGTGATATTTAAGAAAAATTTATAAGCACCTGACAAGTGCTCAACAGATATATCGATAAGGAAGGGGAAAGGGAGACGAAATTAAACTCTAGCATCACTATGTCAAAACGCATCACCATAACCCGTTCGTTCAGGGTTGCGATTGTTTTCTAGAGTGATGCCCTTGGCATGCCGAACCTCATAAGAAGGGGGAAGGGGAGACCTCACCTCTTCTAGATTCACATTTGAGAGACGAGAGTCTCCCGAGATCGAGAGCTCCCTATTTCAATGGCGGCACCGCTATCCTTAGTAATCTTCTTCATAGGATTTTTCATTTATACCAAGGGAAAATAGCATAAGCTCAAAAAAATTATGAAGTGCAGTCATAGATTTGAGAGGGGCAATGCTAGGGGTACACCAACATGGGTACTCCATATGTACACCAAGCAAAATGTCTACGTTGTACAGACATTTTGTGTAAGTGTGTCTGTGTTGGCTTGATGTACATATGAGGTATCTCATGTTGGTGTACCCCTAGGTTAATTCATTTGAGAGTGGTGGTTGTGGAGTATGAGAAGAAGGGGGTCTGATATATACTCCCTCCGTTCAACAATATAGTTCACGTATATTATTTACATGGTCAAATTTTATTTACTTTGTTGACATATTTTCGTGTCCTATTTGATAAAATAATATAGTAATGTCACCTCTAGTTTTGTAGATCTTTTCATTTAGTTTTAAATATGTAATTTTTATTATTTTAATTACATACCATTTTTCATATAAAATGATTTGAAAATAAATTCAGTCAAATATCGCAACACACAACAGGAACTTTATTTATGGACGTAAGGAGTAGTATCGACGCTTGCCCCTCCCCTTAAAACTTAGTCAAAGTTGAAAAGGCCAAGGCACTTCTTGGTACTATAGCGTAGCCTAAGGTGGCGACGTGATGGAATGTGTGAATTTTGAATTAAACTATTTGTACCCAAAAAAATTAAACCTTGTTGTGTATCTCAAAGACATGCACTAACATTTTATGCTAATATAATGATTTACAATGATACAAAATATCAGTATAATTTTTTTATTACACTAGCATTTTATGTCAGTGTGAACTGTGAATTTACCATGCATCTCTTTGTAATACAACTTGGAGTAGATTTTTTGGTGTATCCCTAGCATGATTGGTGAATTTTCCCTTGGTACTGTAGCATAGCCAAAGGTTCAATTCAACCAAACTAGGGATTGTAACGGAGACTAAAAGAGAGTAAAAAATTAAGCAGGGTGTGTGAAATTAAATGAGACACAATAACGTATAATTCTGCTTAAACAAAAATCACTAGACAACGGCAAAAAAAACTGCAAAGAAAACACCGTTGTATTGATAATCGCTAGACAACGAAAAAAACAATACTTCCAATTAAAAGAAACTTAATAGTGAATACCTTTTAAATACAATAAATGATAACAATTATCAAATGCTATCTTTGTTTATTAGTCTTCAGAGCAGATGTGTGATACATTTCAACTACTTTTAATTTCATAAGTCTAGAGTTTTGAAGGACAACACCAACTAACAAGAGTCTGAAGTAGAAAACTACAGTAGTATTCATTAGATATAGACAACGAAAAGACAGTTTTCTTCAATTTTAGAAAACTAATGTCTTATGAGGACAACACCAAAAACCTGTACAAAAGTCAACCGCTTTATACAACCATTTTTTCAACAAAAAACCAATATCGTCAACCGCTTTATACAACCATTTTTTCAACAAAAGTCTGTCAATCTATCACACTGCTGCTCAGAAGACTACTAAAATCGGCACTACGAGACTCCTAAAAAACAGTTGTCAACATCTGTTTTTGGCATAATATTAATTTTTTCCTCTCGGAAAAGATTAACTCAAAAGGATGGATTGTCAGAATATCCTTTTATTGCTCAATATATTCTTTCTCTTATTCAATTACAAATACCTTTCTCAAGTTGAGACTCTTCTCTTTTATAGGAGTCTCCTCCCTCAACCACCGTATTTCTTTTAATCCAATGACATTGAATCATGAAGATGTGATTTTCAATCCAAACCCAAGCTTATCTGCAATGCAACTCAAATCAAAAGTGACCAAACCAGATGTAAATGACCGATTTGCTATTTCTAATCATGATGAACATCGTAAAAACAAAAATTCTCAAGTACTCATTCCGATGGGTATGGCTGTATTGATAAGAGCCTACTATGAGTAATTGCATACCTACCAATATTGCTCATACACAAACGCATGGGGAGGTAAAAAGGGTGTCATAAGATCATCATCAAAATACAGTTTTGGGGTACAAATTCCTCAAACAAAATGGTCTCTAATCTTGGGCTCCATAGAAAAATTTAGAGAACGATAATATGTTAGATGTTTTAGTGAAGAGTTGTGGGACAAACTACAGCCTGATTCTACACCCTCCATCCATCCCCTTCCTGGCAATTCATCATATTCGACCAAATATTACTATTCAAAAGCATCCTCATCTCCACCTTTCAGGTTTTAAGCCAGCAAATTTCCATACATTTCACTGATTGAACAATCCCGTTTATCAGCTCTGCTAGAACTATCATCGCAACAAATTACTTGTTATTCAACAAAGATTATAATGTAAGGAGTATTATAATCAATCAAAAGAATATGTATAGCCTAAAGCTTGCGCAGATCAACAACATATTATTACCTTGATGCAAACAAGAATTTATCATGCTTGAGAATCAAGCATAACAAATGCTTGAATAAGAGACTGTGCAGCGTTTGTTTGCTCAGGGGTTCCAGATATAATAATCATAGTCTCTGTTGCTCCCGGCTTGGGATCATTAATGGTAACTTTTGCATCAGATATCTATCAAGTAGCGAAGAAGGAAGTCAAATAAAGCTGTAAATTATTGCTAAATCAAAACTAGTTTTCTACCCCGTGCTTCGCACGGGCTTGGAATGTGTTCAGGTGTCTATTAATTAAGATTATCAACTTTTTTGGTAAAAGTATGTAACACTTTGATTACAAATTAAATACAGTTTTAAGTAATTAAATATCAAAAAAATTTGATGTATGAAAACCATATTTTAAATGGACACAATTTTTATAAATTTACATTATAATTAAATATAGAGCAACTTGACCAAAAATATCAAATTGCAATTAAATGATAAACTAATAAAATTTGATTTAACTAATGAAAAAATAAAATAAAAATGCCAAATAAATTTAAGTAATGATAAATCATTGAAAATACATATGTGGTATATGGCCTATATGCCATGTGTTATACTTCAACAAAAACAAATTAATTTAATTTAATTTGTTAATATGATATATAGGAAATTAAATAATTTTACAGATAAAACATTTCTAAATAAAATAAAGTATATAGTTAGTAAATATATAGTTAATAAAATATACTCCGTAGTTATTTGGTAATAATATCAATATAAAATAAATGGTGGATTGTTATAAATATATACATATGATAATGTTAGTTTTTTCGTGCTTCGCACGGGCTCGAATATATTCTAAAATTTGACATCTAAAAAATAAAATATTGTTTATTTTAATTCTTTAATAATAATATATGGGGTTTATAAAAACCTAGTAAAAATAAATATGCATTTGTGACATCATATGTAGCATAGTATGCACACGTGACGTAAAAAGTTTTATACAAACTAAATGATCAATGAAAAGAATAATAAAGAAATAATTTTCAATTAAAAAATTAAAATAACAAACTTCAAATGAATTAATTAAGTAATGACACATAATGAAAAAATAGATATATGACATACAACGCATATCGTCTTTCAACTCTAACTTTGTTTTTTTAGTTTGTTTAGTATTTAATAAATATTTATATGTGATAATTAAAATGCTATAATACTACATTGAAAATTTAATAACAATAAATGTTTTTTTGCTCAATAATAATGGTTATTTAGTGTAAGAAAGTGAAGAGTTCATAAAACATTAATAAAAATAAAAGATATTTAATGTATAAAAGTGAAGGTGTTTCATGAAAATTTAATAATACTCCAATAAACATATACATGTGGCATGACACGCGTCGAAGTATAATGCACCCGTGACCTAAAAATTTTATACAAATGTAATGGTCATCAAATATAATAATAATGAAAATTATTTTCATTGATAAAAATTAAAATAAAAATGTAAAATAAATCAATTAAGTAATGACACATCATTACAGAATGCATATCTGTCATGNACATTAATAAAAATAAAAGATATTTAATGTATAAAAGTGAAGGTGTTTCATGAAAATTTAATAATACTCCAATAAACATATACATGTGGCATGACACGCGTCGAAGTATAATGCACCCGTGACCTAAAAATTTTATACAAATGTAATGGTCATCAAATATAATAATAATGAAAATTATTTTCATTGATAAAAATTAAAATAAAAATGTAAAATAAATCAATTAAGTAATGACACATCATTACAGAATGCATATCTGTCATGTGCCACATGTAATCCTTCAATTAAACTTTCACTTTCTTTAGTTTGATAAAAAAATATATAATAAATTAAGACAAAAAATTGAAATATGTTAAAAAGTTAATAAAGATGCATGTGTGATAAACTTTATATATAATAGTTTCTTTTGAGATGATGGATAATTTTAAAAATTATAAGAAACGTTGTTTTTTATTGATAAATTTTATATAATTTTTTTAAAAGTATAAAATAGTTGCACTTATTTAAAAAATGTTTCTAAAATAGTTAGAAAGTGAAAATTTTATAAAGAAATACTACGTAATAAAAATAAAGGTTTTTTTATTGTTGGAAAGTCAAGGGTTTATAAAATATATTTAATACAAAATTAAATATCCATGTGTGGAGTGACATGTGTCTTGTGTTCACATGTGGCATGACACATGTCAGTAGTATGCACGCATGGCATGACATGTGTCATCACCACAAATATGTAACTCTCTTTTACATATGTATATAGGATCAGTGAGCGAAGAACAAAACCAGAATTAACAATGGCTTCAAAGGGTGTATGCACCTCACATATTTGTCTGAGACACCCCCCATCATCCCCATATATTTCCGGAACAGCTGAACGAGGAACAACCACTTCCACCTTGGTATTAGTGATTATAGCTGGACTTCCCCTGAACTTGTAAACGTTACTTTCTTTAAGAATCAGATTAGGGAGAAGAAGAAAAAGGTAAGCAAGTTATGTGTGTGTGTATAAGTACAAACCCGGCAAATCCACCAATTCTTTTCTTAAGAGGCAAGCCTGTTGGACCGCCACCATCAATCGGTCCCTGTTTCCAGTTGAAAGCATTAAAGGATTATACTCCCTCCGTCCCAGAATTATCATCACAGTTTCTAATTTGGCCTCTTAATAATTTTTGTTTGTTTGCATGGTTTCGTAGATCATTTGGTAAATAAAATATTGTTCCCCTCTTGTTTTGTTGAACTTCTGATGTAGCTTTTAAATAGGAAATTAAAATTTTTATTTCTATACTAATTTGCAAACAAAATAGTTTTAGAGAGATAGGATTTTGCACATTGTTCAAAATGAGACGATAATTTTATGACAGGGAGAGTAATAACTACCCGGATTATGTAAAATTTTAGCATACATATGTATGTTGATGATGATGATGATGAAAATAACTATTATTATTATAACAATGATAATAATACGGAGTAATAATAATATGTTTGTGTAACTCACTAGAACATAAAGATGTTCTTTCTCACTCTAATGCTTTTGACTTTTGAGAAGTGATACCTGTGGAACCCAAGGTCCAGATGATAGCATCGTTTCTGAAATGGGAGGGAAACCTGGCCTGTGAAAATTAGAGATTAAGGGAGGACGGTCGTCATGAGGATGGAAGTCACCACGTGGAGGCAAGCCTCCAATCGCATCAAATCGGTGAAACGATGGTGGGCCCATACTTGGATACATTCCCGGTGGAGAAAGTCCCCCCCTTCCGTTGTGCGAAGGGGGGAAAGGAGGCATATGATCCAGAAAGTGAGCAGCTGATAATTGATTCATAGGAGGAAATGCATTGCGAAAGAAATGCTCCTGCAATCTTGATGTTATCTGAAAAAGGGCTTCTTGAACTTTTTGAAATTCTCCATTTACCTGCAGTGCAAAAGTATTGAAAAATTAGGGTCCATTACCAGTAAATACCTATTTCTCCACAATGTCTCCATTGGAAATAAGATCTTATACAACCCAGTAGAATCCCATAAGAGTTGGGTCTGGGGAGATGTGTGTACACTGATCTTGAACCTACTCGAAAGTAGAGAGGCTGAAATTAGATCTGATACAGTACAAGAAAACTTAAGGAGGTATTGGATGAACTTGCACTTATATAATTTTCTTAAAATATTAAAACTGGCAACCCTCTAAAGCAGACAATAGACTCATCTCTATGCCTGCTCACCTGAACTACTTCTTCATTCTCTGAAGCACATTTCGGTGTTTGTTCCTTCCCAAGAATCCGAATGTAAGCACCTGTTGACTTCCTCATTTCAGCAATAATAGAACCGCCTTTGCCTAGAAGACATCCAATTTGATTAGAGGAGACAAGAAGTCTTGCTAGCATTGAGTTGTCCTTAATTGCAGGTAGAGCCCTAAAGATTCTGGACTGCACATGAAGCAGTGCATCTTGTGGAGGAGATACCCTATCCTGTGGATGCTGCATAAATGAATAAAGCACATGCAAATGTTTATTTTCCAGTACCAATACAGTTCTGGAATACGGTTATCAAAACACAAGGTAATTTCAACCAACTTCACCTTAAAGAGAAGAAAATGAGAGCAAAGATCCAGGAGCTTCATAGATTAAAACAGACCTGGCAATCGGATCGCTTCCGGTTCGAATTTATTTGGTTTGGCTATCAATCGGATATGTGTTTTAAATGGCTTGGTTCGGCTTAATTTTGGTTCGGATTTAATTTGGTTCCATACAGTTTTGGGTTTCAGTTTGGTTTTAGATCGATTCAGATTTGTTAAGATATAAATCGGTTCAAATAGATATTAGCTTCAGATATCTTTTGGTTTGGATATATTTCAGTTTGGATATATTTGGGTTTCGAATACCTTTCGGATCAAATTTATATTTATTTTTTTCTTAAAATTTAAAATTCCATGTTTCAATAGCTCCCTTATCATTTCACATTTATCAATATATCATCAGTTCATTATCTCACATTATTTTACTTTTTTCTTAACTTTTTCGGTTTCTTACAATTTTTTCCAGTTCCTTCCAGATTTTCTAGTTTCTTCCAACATCCAGTTTGGATATATTTCAGTTTGGATACATTTTTGTTTGGATATATTTTGGTTTCGAATACCTTTTGGATCAAATTTATATTTATTTTTTTTACAAAATTTAAAATTCCATGTTTCCATAGCATCTTTATCATATCATAGTTATCAATATATCATCAGTTCATTATCTCACATTATTTTACCTTTTTCATAACTTTTTCAGTTTTTTCCCAGTTCCTTCCCGTTTTTCCAGTTTCTTCCAAGATCCAGCTCTTTTTTTCCAACCCTAAAGAACAGGCTCCAAAGATCCTTGTTGGTATGGAGAGAATAGGGCTAGATTTAGATATTTAATCCTTAGATGGAAATGAACGGTGATGTGGGAGGTAAGAAGAAAAAGGAAAGAAGAAGGTTTTCAAGATTCTTAAGTTTGGCAACTTAAATATTTGTTAACTAAAGTTTATTTCCTATTTTACTTACTGTTTAGTTCAGCTGTGTAACAGGATTAGGAAACTTTCCTTTCTTCTTCATCTCTAGTTTTAGTAAGATTCCAAATCCTAATAGGAGTAGGGGTAGCTTCTCATATTCCTATCCCTATTCTTCCTTTTGGCTAGGCTCTTATATAACCCTTAGGCCTTAATTCATTGTCGTTAATGATGATAGCCAAAGTTCTTCAAAACAGATTTTTTATCAATCTTTGGTGGTTAATTCCTTTTTAAGAATTTGGTCCTACTCCAAGATTTTTTTCAACATTCTTGGGGGATTATCAATAGAGAACTTGATGAAGTTTCCATCTTTTTTCCATATTTTCTCTTGCTCTTGAAGTCTAGGTAGGGTGCACCCAAACCTAGTTACCTAGTTTTCAAGATCCCGTCCTTTGGTGTTCGTGTGCTTCCGTGTTCACATGAAAGTTTGACAAAACAATGAGTATCAATTAGGAGTTTCATTTCTCTCCTATTACTCAGCATAAGAGACAATAAACCAAAATGAAAATGTTGGGCCCATGACTTTAATTTCTTTCCACCGAATTTCTCTTCTCAAGAAACGAGGGAAATGCTCCAAGCCTCCAATAATAACATCTCAGTAAAATGCTCCACTTCTATATTTCTTTCCTTTCCATTTCTTTCTTCCACACTTCTTGCCTACCAAACAAAGGCTTATTGTTTCATGTAGACTTTTTGTTTTGGTTGTTTAAGTTGTTAATACTAAAATCACACCAGCCACATCGCTTATAGAAAAACCTTTAATTAGAATACAAAAAAGAAAGCAGCAGTCTTAAATAAATCATACCGCCGGACCAGATATCGCAATAATACGATCTTCTGATTTAGCTACACCTTCTAGAATTTGGATGTCGCAGCCAGTCTCATGTTGGATTGTCTTGATAATGCTTCCTCCTTTTCCAATTATGCCCCCTACCCTTTCCTCAGGACAGAGTAATCGGAAAGTTAAGGCATCCTGAGGAGGATTTGCTTGCCCAGGAAATCCAGCATCACCATCAGGATTTCCATCAGAATAAGGTGGTCTCTGTCCAAGAAAAGGAAAATTTGGTCGAGGGTGTGAATCATGGCTAGATGAACGGTGGCCAATTGAATGAGAAGAAGGGCCATTTGGATTTGCTGACAAAGTATCTTCACCCTCAGGATTGCTCTCAAGTAGTTGTTGACTAACAGATCGAAGGGCTTTCTTAACAGCATTATATGGCCCAGAGACCTGCAACAATGCACAGTTACATATTACTCTGTATTTCTAAAACCATACTGTTACCTTAAATGACTATCAATGCGCATAAACATGAATTGAGTACGTTCACAAAATAAAAGACCAAATTACTGAAATTAGGAGCTACCCAGCACGATGACAAACATTTGAAGAAAATCAAAAAATAAAAGTGTCACAAAACTTCTTAGCTCAAACATGTCCAATGCATATTAAGAAATGCAAATTACTCCAGCTTACTTTTGCTTCATAAAAGTTGCAGGAGAACCCAATTCAAATAAAGCTTTTATTTCACAAGACTTCATTTTAGAAATTACAAATATGGGTTAGAGAAGAAAGTACTGTCTATTTTATGAAGCATCTTTGGATTTGACCATAACTCATTCCAAAAACTGAAATTCTTAGCAGGGTGCAAACACTTTCAGTAGCCATTGCCAATGAACTGAAAATTATATTTTACAATGTTTTAGCCTCTCGTAAATAATGGACTAAATCAAAAAGGCAAATTAAACTTCCATTGCTCCTTACTCTCTATTAAGTGTTGGGCAGTAAATGCATCGCCGGTATAATGGAAACATCATCTCTTTTTTAATGAGGGTAAGATTGTGTACATATTGACCACAACCCCCCACCCAGACCCCAAGTCCCTAACAAATTTGGGATTACACTGGATGAGGTGTTGTTATCGATGCAAAGACTACAACACTGCAGTTGGATCCCAGACAGTAAGGTCTAGAGGTGTGTATACGCAGACCTAACCCCTACTAGAGAGTAAGGAGGCTGTTTCAAAGAGACCAGGGGGTTCAAGTGACACAGACAGGACAAGATCACATAAGACACATAAAGCAAAGAAACCACATAGCACAAAAAAGCAGAGAGCAAACTAAGATTAACGAGGGAAAATACAACAAGCAGAAAGCACCAAGCATAAAGGAGCACATTAACAAGTGCGCAGACAGCAGACTGCCACCAAGCCCAATACGCCTACCCAACTACCCTAATCCTAGCTCTCCAAATGTTCCTGTATAAGGTCATATCCTCAATAGGGGCCAAAAGACCTATGTCTTGTCGAATCATCTCATTTTAATTCTTCCTAGGGCAACCCCTTCCCCTACTCCCACCACCCCCTAAAGCCACTCACATCTCCGCACTGGGGCATCAACACTCTGCCGCCTCACATGCCCAAACTACTTCAACCAAGCTTCTTGTAGCTTATCCTCCACCGGTGCCACTCCTACCCGTCCTCGGATAACCTCGTTTTGTATCCTATCTATCCTCGTCCTTCTACTCATTCATCTCTACAACATGCAGCTGATGAACAAGTGTTTTTGAACTGCAAAATACTCCACACCATACAGCATATTTTTTCTGGCCGATAAAACAAACATTCATTCTAGCCGAGATCTTTTTATCACAAAGAACCCTTGAAGCCAACAGCCACTTGGCCCAACTTGCAACATCCTCGTCTTACTCCCCATCCGCCTAATGACCGAGCAAAGATGCCAAGACTTGTCTAACTTGGGCAATGGGTGAGAATCAGCCCTAACTCCCTCCATTGACTCTGTCACCCGGCTAGACTTCATCATACTCAGTCTGAAACCTTTGGGTTCTAAGGAAAGGCGACATAGTTCCAACTTGTCATTTAGTTCCTCGCGAGTGTTGTCAATCACATAATACCGTCAGCAAAAAACATGCACCAAAGGATCTCCCCTTGAACTCCCTACAGTAGGATGTCCATCACTAGAACAAACCAGAAGAAACAAGGGCGGACCCCTGATGTAAAGTGTAACCACACCTCCATTTACCTTGTGCTCCGGTGCTCCCCCCCCCCTACATATCTCTCAACACGAATGTATGCGATTAAAACCCTTTTTAACACAAGACACTTCCACAAGATCTCTCTCAGCACCATGTCGGATGTCGGTCTTATCGAGGTCAATAAACACATGAAGGTCATTATTTTTAGCCCTATACTCTTCTATCAACCTCTATAGAAGATAAATTGCCTTTGTGGTCGATTTGCCAGGCATGAACCCAAACTAGTTCTTGAAAATGCACATCCCTTTCTGCGGCCTATACTCAATGATACACTCCCAGACCTTCATAGTGTGGCTAAGTGATTTGATGCCTTTAAAATTCCTGCAACTTTGAATATCACCCTTACAATTAAAGAGTGGGGACAAATACACTCTCTCTTAACTCATCCCATCTTGAAAATAAAACTGAAGAGCTGATTTATCCAAACCAATCCATTAATGCGCATATACTTCTAAAGGTCCATCAGAATCTCATCCGGATCCAAGGCTCTCCCACTCTCATCCCGCGGATGACGTGTGCCACCTCCTTTGCACCGGCAATACCCATAGCCTTGATGCCTCTCTCAAAACCTTGCCCTTGAATCTCTTGCATTCAGGAGACCACTGATGTCAAAGTTGTCATGGCGCATGGCGACATTCATGGCGATGGCATAAATATGGCATCGCCACAGGACACTAGTGTGTGTGGGTGTGTGTGGGTGTGGGTGTGTGTGTGTGTGTCTACATACACACACACACACATATATATATATATACTTACATACACACACACACATATATATATACACACACACACATTTGAAAACATTAACGTAACACAAAAAAATAATACTACATCCGTCCTAATGTATTTGTCCAATTTGACTTTTTCGAGTTAAATTAGATAAACTTAAAACTCTAATTAGACAATATTTCGTTCAACTTATTTTTTCTGCTTATTACTTATTCTTATTAAAATGGGATCAGATCAAATCAAATCAGACCACCAAATCAGATCCAATCAAACCAGACGAGATCTAAACATTATTATTATTATTATATTACTAATATTACTATTAATATTAATAATATTATTATTTTACTACTATTATAATTACTATTACTATTATTATTACTATTACTATTATTATTACTATTACTATTATTATTACTATTACTATTATTATTACAATTATTATTATCTTTATTCTTACTATTGTTATTATTACTATTACTATTATTATTTTAATTACTATTATTATTTTTATTTCTACTATTATTATTATTATTACTTTTATTATTATTACAACAACTTTATATGGGCTATATTGTGTTCCCTTCCATATTTTTGTGCAGGTGGAGCCGGGGGTCTCTTGAAACAGCCTTCCTACTTCCGAGTAGGGGCAACCCTCCCCAGACCCTACTATTGTGGGATCCAACTGGGTTGTTGTTGTTGTTGTTGTTTATTATTACTATTACTATTACTATTATTATTATTACTATTACTATTACAATTATTATGACTATAATTATTGTTACTATTGTTACTATAATTATTACTATTATTATTATTACTATTATTACTAAAATTATTATAAGTACTTTTATTATTATGATTACTATTATTATTATCATTGTTACTGATATTATTATTGCTATAACTATTCTTATTATTAATATTTCTATTATAACTATTATTACTATTTCTTTTATTATGATTACTATTATTATTAGTATAATTATTATTATAGTTAATTTTATTATTACTATTCTTATAACTATTATTATTTCTATTGTTATTATAACTATAATAATAATAATTTTAATTTTAATCAATTTTATATCAGATTAGATCCAATCAGATCAAATTAGATTAGACCATATCAGATCAGATCCAATCAAATCAGATCCAATCAGATCAGATCATGCGAACGGAACACATCCTTACTCCCAATTTGTATAGCATATTAGTATAATGAAATACAATTTTGAAAGTTCTCAATAAGACAAAACTAATAAAGTCATTTTTATGCTAAAATGCATTACGGTTTTAATTAAATTGAAGCTCAAAGTTTGCCCGATATGACTCGAAAAAATCAAACTGGACAAATACACTGGGACGGAGTGGGTAGAACACAAATGTTTTGATTAAAGAAAATGTAAGGTTTTATTGTCAAATAATATTTAAAACTTGATTCCTAAATATCTAAAATATTTTTATCTATAAAAATAATTTTTTTTGAAGGGATCTACAAACATAACTTAATTCAACGAAAATATAGTAAATATGAGAAGCAGAAAAAAAAGACAAAAAATAGAAGAAAGTTGAGCCCAATAAAACTTGGACCCCAAAAGAGAAATTGGAAGTATTTCTTTTTCCGATAATTCGTTGATCGCGATCCCAACCGCAAATCCGGATTATCTTTATTCCCGATCTTTCTTGCCATATGAATCGCAAACCCTAGTTCAATGGGGCCTTATTGGATTTGGCTTAGGTCAAAAAATTAAAAAAATGGCGCAAGAATGGCGATGGCGCACAAATGGTGTTGCCATAGGTAGGTCAACCGCCACAAGCCACTTTGTGGCATTTGATAGGAAAAACCCCAATGGCGGAGATGAGGTGTGCGCCATTTGCGCCATTGATAATATTCCCCAAGCAGTTGGCCACCTCAGCCGTCTCGAACAACAATCTGCCATCGTTGCCGTTCATACATCTCACATGATCCAGATCACGAGCCTTCGTCTCACGTGCCTTAGCTAGCTGGAAAAGCCTCTTATCATTGTTATGCTCCTCTATGTCCTTATAAAAGCATTTAAAAGTTATATTCTTCGGCCTAGTAACTTTTAACTTAGCTTCTTTACGTGCAATCTTAAACTCTACTCGAAGAGTCGCCTTATCCTCATCACTACAGTTCATGTACCTCATATACGCCTTCTTCATGGTTTCCACCTTACTTCAAACCATATCACTCCACTGCCAAACTACAACTCACACCCACACCTCTATGGAAGCTAAGACTATATGTAATAATTTTGACTATTCTTCAAGTGACACCGAACACTAGAATAATTCAAAAATAATGTTATAGTATCTTAAATTCTATTTCACCAACTCTATCACAGATTCCCAATGATAAGGAAATGTAACCAAAGTTTTGTTTATTAATCCCTTTTTCCCAATGAGTGTCTTGTTTGATTTTTATCAATGTCATACGTGAAGTTTGACCATTATTATCTGATATAATAAATTTGATAAAATAGTATTTTTCAAATATTTTGCAAGACAAAGCTTATGGAACCTTGAACCAGATCCATAATATCAATCAATGTATTTTTTTAATTATAAAATGGTCAAAATTCAAACAAACTCTTGGGGATGGATGTACTATTACTCGGTCCATCCAGAAAAATGATTGCCTTCAGATACTTTTTTAGGACTCGTATTTTAAAACCCAAGCTCATTATGGCACACCCTCCCTGACCCTACTTTTGTATTGTGGCATTCTCTCGATTGTTATTTCCTAAAAAAATAAACAAGTTGACTGCAATAAATTTAGTAAAACCAACAAATAAACTGAAAAAATACCTATATCTGATGCCATAATAATTGTGTCGTGCTAGTATTTAAAAAAATTCTCCCTTAGAAAATAGAAACAAATCTTTTATGGGACAAAAAGGTATTAACTATTAAGTGCTGCTCTCAGGAGTTCTATGTGAATGTAACCTTATTTTATGTAAAACCTGAGGGGGGAGGGGGGGAATCACCTGAACAAGTTCATCAGAAGAAGAAGCACAACTAGGCAGTTTGTCCCTGGGAAGAATGCTTATATCAGCCCCACTCTCTGAGGACATCTGCGTTAATACACTACCACCTTTCCCCAACAAGCAGTTCACTTGGCTGCTTAATATGAGAAATCTTACAGTTAAAGATGAACAACCTTTCTTGTCTTCATCTTGCATATCCTTCTCCAAATCATCACTAGCCATTCTTTCAAATAAAAACACCAAAGCTTCCTGAACACTTGAAACTTTGTTTTTCAATTTGTAATCATCAACCTGATCAGACTGTTTGTTTTGACCAATTCTATCATTCACATCCATCTCACTTTTATTATCCTTTGAATCTGTTTCCTTGATTTTGATCTTGTGCTTCTCTGATCCAGCTTCATTTTTATTCTCCGAACTTAAAATAACAACCACTCTCTCATTGCATCCAGGGACAGCATCCTCAACATGGACATCCGCACCAGTTGCCTGGCCTATTTCAGGAAGAGTGCTGCCATCTTCTCCCACGATCGAACTGATTCTTGAAATATGACATAGGATACGAATTAACTTGGTTTGGGAAGATGACTTCAATGGAGATCTCTCTGATCCTAAACCAGCTGATTTTTTCCAATTCCCTCTTTCATTTGTTTCCGCAATGCTTTGATCATGTGGTCTCTTAGAAGGAGTCAATTGTACTGACATGTCTAGAAATCTACAATAGCAATTACCAAACCATTGGATAGGCAAAAATTAAAAAAAATGATACACTCAGTAAATAGAACCGGTGGTAAGGAACTATACAAGTCTACAGTTTTAGACAAATTCAATTTGTTCCCTGGATCCAGATGCCAAACGGTCATTTACACATTTGGAGAACTGGTTACTCAGGGGAAAGACGTTTAGGTAGTGGATAGACGCTTTGGGATTTGGAATTAAGACTTTTGTCTTTGGAGACTCGACTGCGCCCCCTGTAAGGCGAAAACCTAGTATCTATAAAGCACGTACGGGGCAAACCTTTGGGAGAAATCGCGTGTCGGAGAAAGCACGCCTGGCTGGAGATGCAGAAAGGCTTCGGGGTCAGAGTGGAGCTTTCTCCGGCAGTGATTGCAGTCAGTCGGGTAGGAGTTGATGGAAGCCTTTTTAGATGGATGGTGTGATGAACTTGACGAGAGAGAAGATCCGACACTCGCCCCCCTACAGGGCAGCTTCTTGATAAGAGGGCATTTAAAAATGAAATGTCACACGATCACATGAATTATTTTAATCAATAAAAAGTAACTTAGTCACCGTGTGACAAATGAGTGGAGTGTCGTAACATACAGTGACAAGTCGTTGTTTGTGTCTATTTTTGTACTTTTTAAGGATTTTTAATTATAAAAAATTATTTTAAAAAATTATTTTATTATTAAAATATGTTTACTTCTTTTAAAAAATATTTTTTTCAAAAATTACAAATATTAAAAATATTAAAAAAAATAAAAAATTAGAGAGCCATGCTTTGCACATGGAATGAAAAGTGTGGTGGAATGGCCATGGAATGAAAAGTGTGGTGGAATGGCCATGGAATGCCATGATTTGAGTGGAATTTGTTGACATGGCATACCAAGACAAGGCATTGCCTTGCCATTGTGATGCAACAATGGAATGCCACACGCTGACGTGTCACATTTTAACCAATCAAAAATAATCTAGTCAGCAAGTGGCACTTGAATGGAGTGGCAAACTCTGCAGTGGCAAGTCATTATTTCTACTATTTTTACATTTTTTATGTGTTTTAATTATAAAAAAATATTTTTTATTTTATCAAAAAAATTAAAAATACTTTTTCTTATTTATGAAAAAAATATTTTTTTTCTAAAAAAGAAAAAAAATAAAAATAAAAAAAAAGATAAAGAAGAGCATATGGAGTGCCTCGCTCATGCCCCTCAAAATCGTGGAGGAATTGCCAGCCACGAGAGGCAAATTGAGGTAGGTGCTGAGTTGGCAAGCATGGCATGGGTTTTCCACGCCCATTGCCCATAGATTTTTTCAATTCCAAATACGAATACAAATCTGAATAAATATTTGAATCCTTATCAAATACGAATATGAATGGTATTCGATTCGTGAGTTCGACAAATATATTCGAAATATAAATTTAATTATATAATTAATATATATTTATAGACAAATAATAGCTAATAAATAGATTAAATTGTTATAAAATATTTTAAAATCTAGATGAATCGAATATTTTTAAACGAACCGAATATATTTAAACGAACCGAATTTTTAAACGAACCGAATATGTTCAATATATTAAACGAATCGAATATGAATCTTAAAAAATATTCGAACGAATATTATTCATGAATATTCGATTCGGTTCGTTTACAACCATAGGCGGTAGTCACACACCAAGTACTCCCTACCCCATTTGTTCTCTCATTCTTACTACTAGGCTGGTCAATGGGTCGAGTTCGGACCGGTCCATAGTGTTCTATTTCTATATTGTCTAAAAAAAATATTGATCCTGATTTGTACCCATTTACCCGATGGGTCTTGACATCTAATCTTAGATTTCGATCCATTAGGACTCGGTATAGGGTCGCGTATACCCGTGATAAAAGTTGACGTATTTTAAAATCAAGTTAGTGTTAAAAATGAAACAACTCGAATGAGAGAAAAATATGAAGGAAATTCATGTGGAACATGAGAAGTAAAAAAAGCACATAACTCAAATAAAAACATTTCAACTTTATGAAATAGAAAGAGAGCACAAAACAAAAGAGTATCAGAGCTCTCAAGTTTTTACACAATGTTTTAAACGAAACCTTTAAGTAAAGATGCACATGAAACAGCAGCAAAAAATTTAGAAGACTTATAATCTACAATCAGCCTTCTTTATCAAAAACCTGCAACAAAAACACAAAAAGTAATAATAAAATTATAAGCATAAATTTTGAAATATTCTCAACATCTAAATTTATTTTAGATTCATATAATATGACATTGAACATAGCTAATCAAGAATGATGCCATTAAATTTAGAAAAAAGACAAACATGCATGCATCAATTCTGGAATATACAAAACTTGAGCCCTTCTAGAAGTTGTAAATTAAAACAATCTTACCAAAATACCATCTCATGCACCATTACATCACCCTAGTCTTCATGTTCTTTTGAGTATAAGATAAAAAAACAAAAAATCAACTTTGAAATCTCACAATTGTCATATTTTAATAAAAAATAAAAGTTAATAGTGATTTTACCATTTTTCTTCTTTGATGGTAACCAATCTTCTGTTGCTACTAATGCTTCTACAACTTCCGGAAGCAAAGATACCCGAGTCTCATCAAACACCCTTCCTCCCACATTGAATGCTGATTCGGATGCCACAGTTGTCGCTGGAATTGCAAGTACATCACAGGCAATTTTGGATAGAATTGGAAATTTAGGACTGTTTGCTTTCCACCAAAGTAATATTTGAAAATCTTCTTTCCTAAAAATTACGGCTTCTTCCAAATATATTTTCAACTTAGATTTTTTTGGAGCAATAGGATTTAGAGAAGACTCTTTGTACCAATTGTCAAATGAAGCCATGTCATCTTCATCCACGACATCTGCTAATTTGTTGCCCAATGTTTCAACAGATACATCATTCATACTATCAGAAGGATATAAATCACCCCCACACTCAACAAATAACTCTTATACCATGGATCAAAGACGACAGCAATTGCCAACACCAAAGAACATTCATCCCAATATTTTTTCATATTTAGCCCGCATATACCTACCATTTTTTAAATAAAGTCATACTCACTATTCTCCCATTGCCCCAACTTTAAACTAAGGATGCATATATCTCGGAAGAACACATTTGTAGTAGGAAACTTTGTTGGACACGATTTTATTATGTGGCCTGAGTTTTCATTTATCCAATTAATTGATCATTGACCTAATAAATTCCCTACGTATTTAATTGGTAATTATTCGATGGACGTAATTACCCTTATGACCTAATTAGGGTTTCCCCTTGGATGTATATATATATAGAGGTCATTAGGCAGAGATTAACACACCAATCTTACGCCTCCTCTCTGCCTCTCTATTCTCGTGAGTCTCATCCTCACCTTAGCCATCATAACGATACACCCTAAACGGGAACTCGATCTGCGTGAGAATCATGGCCTCATCCCTGACTACGTTCACAGGGTTATCAGGTACACATGATTAAATCCCTAATTTATACTTTATGTTTAAGAATTGATCAACAAACTTACTACCACTAAAATGACATGTGGCATCATAGAACTTTTTTAAACACCCATGAATAATGCTAGCAACTTTCCAATCATCTTTTGAAGGATTATGTTTGTAGTTTTTGTCTAACTGCTCTAAACGACAATAAACATCCTTTAAAGGCAAACATGCCTCCAACAACTAGAAAAGTTGAATTCCAACTGTTAGCAACATCCAAACGAGCTCTTTTCTTGTTTTTCAACTTACATTGAACAATTGCACTCTCAAACTTTTGGTTTGCAGAAGGAGACTTTTTCAAGTATTTGATGGTATTTCTAATTTACTGAAGCAACCGTGCAACAACACTTAATCCATCTTGTAGAATCAAATTTAGAATATGTGCACTACATCTAACATGAAATAATTCACCTCTCAAATGGAGCAATGATTTATTCAAGAGCCAAGATTTTAAATATTTAACCATTGAATCATTAGATGTTGCATTATAAACAACAATAGATGGCAACCTCTTGTCAATATTCCACTCCAATAATATATCTGAAATAAATCTAAATAAAGATTCGCCATCATGGGGATATGAAATAGACTTGAACGACAAAATATGTTTTTCAACACCCAATGTTCATCAACAAAATGAGCTGTCAAACAAGCATATGCAATATAATATTCTCATGGTCTGAAGTCCATAAATCAGTGGTGAAACTTATCCTTCCATTCACATCTTCCAACACCTTATGCATCTTTTCTTTTTCTTCTTTGTAAACATTAATCACATCCGCCCTTACAGTTAACTTAAATTCTGGGTTTAAATTATTGACAAAAATTTTAAAATTCTCATGTTCAGCCATGTTGAATGGATATTTGTGTTTTATTAAAGCTCTAGCATAGTCCATTTGACTCATCTTGTGATCAAACATAAAATTGACAATTTTAGCATCATCATTCAAAATACTTTTTCAAATTGGAGAACTTGTTGCATGCATACCACTCCTCTCTTTTCTAGATGTGCACCTCGCAATGTGTTTTTTCAAGTGAGTGGTCCCACTACTACCACCCACTGCCATTCTTTGTTTGCAATGGTTACATACTATTGGAGTTGTGCCCTGATGGCCAACTGTTTTATCTTTATTCTATCATGTATAGGCAGATATAATATATTTACACATCTCATGCTAATGTTAATATAAATATAAATAAATATATATATATATGTTGAATATTTTATTTTAGTTTGTCATTTTAATTATGAAAATAATTGTTTTGACATAAACTTTTTAAAGTATATTTATATACTTGTTTAAAAATGATATTGGTATTTTTATTTGATTTAAAATTAATTTTATATTAATTTTTGGTGTCAAATAAAATACGCTTTGAATATTTAAGTGGAGAAGAAATTTGAAAAATCCACTTTCACAAATCAAAACATACGGCCATAAGAGATTTTAAAGGAGAATTTTTTTTGATTGGATATTGAGTGGGCTACTTGTTTTGTCATTTGGCTAATGACAAATTAATTACACACCTTTGGATTTGTTAAATACTCCTCCACGCCACATTCATCAAAGGGGAAGAAAATTTAGGATATTCATTTTAAGAGAGAGAAAGTGATTATTTGGGGTTTCATTAATATGATTTTGTGTATAGAAAATATCTACTCTCTCCATCCCGGAGTACTCATCCAGTTTTGACTTTTGGAACTGTTCATCTAAGCACTTTGACTCATCAAATTCTCTCAATGTGTAAGCCTAAATATAGTCATGTGTGATCTTGTTTGATTTGTCTTAACATATAGATTATTAATATATAATTTCTATAATTTTTTAATATACAAATTACAAGATAAAATAGATTAAAGAAGTATATTGGATGGTGTGTAAAAATGAAAGTGAACAAATACTCTGGGACGGAGGTAGTATAATATTTTTCTAAATATTATTGGAAATATTTTCTATAGAAATATACAAGATTATTATTATCCCAATTTTAATCTTTACTAGTGTCAACCTCGTGCTTCGCACGGGCTCGTATATATTCTAAACTTTTTATATTCTATAAATATAATTTTATTTATTTAAAATGAATATTTTTTTCACTCTAAGATATACATAGTATATTTTTAAAAAAAAGTATACTTTAAATATTGATGTACATGCACGAAAAATTCTATAACTATTCTATTAAAAAAATATTACATTAATTTAAATAAAACATAAAAATGTAAAAAACAATTTAATATCCTTGAAGGTGAAATATTTCTTCAGTGTTACGAAAGTGAAATATTTTAAAATTAACAATAAAGAGTCTTATACATACTCTTTTTTAAAATTTTGCAATCAATATGCATATTTAAAATACGAAGTATATTTTACAATAGTGAAATATATGTTTATAAGAAAGTATAAACATATATGGATGCACATGTGGCATGCCACATGTGGATGCACATGTGGCATGCCACATGTCAACACCACAACCAATACACCCAACTTTACATATATACTAGTATTTCTACTCGTGCCATGCACGGGTTCAGACAAAATTTTTTTCCGATTTTACAATATGGATCTTGATTTTTGTTTTGAATACTATTCAATGGTCAAATATAAATGATCTAGGTTTGATGTATTTCTACAAATCTAAATATTTTCTCCCTGTATAAATTCAAAAATATATTAATACAAAAAGTAATAGTGATCCAATGATTCTTTTTCCTCACATTAATTTAAAAAACATAAACTACCGAAATTATAATTATATACTCCCTCCGTCCCCGAGTATTTGTCCACTTTTGACTTTTTTTATCAAAATTGGTAATAATATAATGATATTAGATATTGTTACAAAATTAGTTTTACTTGATTTATCATATTATTCATTTTCAAAATATTATTTTATGTACTCAATATATAATATATATTTTATTTAATTATAAGTCAAATGTTGAAAACAGTTAATCGGAAAAAGTCAAAACTGAACAAATACTCAGGGACGGAGGTAGTAATTAAAAAAAAGATTCTTCTCATCCATAATCCCAACTACCCCCTCCCCGCAATGATTATAAAAAATATTATTCTTTCTTGCATTATTAAAAACAAAGTCTTAAATTAGTGATCCTAAATCTCTATGATTATAAATTTTAATTTTAAAATATTAAGAATCAATTCTTCTTCTCCCCATATTGATTTTAAAAAATATTAAAATGTTAGTGCTTCAATAATTTTGTCGGGATAGTATTATGGTCAAGAAGAATTGGAAATTATATTTTTCTTTGATGTGATTGTAACCCGTAACTGAGTCTTGAACTTATTAGCTATTGCACCTTAGATTTTCTGCACAATTGTTCTTAGTTTTTTATTATTCTAAATCTTCATTGTCACAAATCTTCTCACGCTCCCTTCCACACCTTGATCTTCTTTGTCACAATCTTCTATGCAGAAATCTGTGTTGTCTCATAAAATATCACCCTATGAAGTTTTCTCTCTTATTCAAAATTTCTTAATTTTGTGTATAACATTTTGAATTGTAACACAATATAAGTATGTAATGAGTAAATCATAAGTTACAATATAAGATTATTTTAATTATTTTAGAAGTTGATTTTATAAAATTTTTTATTAAAAAATGACTTTTAGTTCTCACTCAATTGCATAAAATTTCATGTATGTTCTAATTTCTTCAATAATACTCAATGTGTATTTAGATTTGATATTCTCAATTGATTTTCTTATCAATTTTGTACGGAGTATACTTTAACCTCGATATATAGAACAAACATTGTCTTTCGATAGAAATGCATTACCAAAACCTTCCTTTTGAAACTAAGGAATCTCTTAATGTTTGATAGCTCCTATTCAGGTACAGAGTATTTTTTTCCAAAAAATTATAGCGAAATTTTTGTATAATATATTTTTCTAATTTAACACAATTATAGTTCAATCTTCTATTGTTTTTAAATTTTATTTAAAGTAAATTTTATGAAAATATACTTTAATGTAGTTTTATAATTAATTAAAAGTGTAATTATAAATGAAGAGTAAAAAAAATAATTGGGAAAGAATACTATTATAAAAAATGAATTTTCCTATTACATAATTAAATTTATTCAAAGATTTCTTACCATAACGATAATTTCACATTTTATGCGTCCTAAATTAGGTGGAATATTAGGTGTCAAAACAAATGCAATTATTTTTATAGGTGGCGAAATATTTTATTTATTAGGTGTTAATATTTAAATAAATATTATCAAACTAACTTCATTTATTTAGATGTATCATAAAAAAATATAAAATTTATTTAAAAAAAGCCTCACAAAAATCACTCTCATTTTTTATATATATAAAGGATTATATTTTTAAAATTGAAAAGGAATTTTTATACAATCTTTTTTTATTTATGAAATATTATAAAAGATTATGTGAACTTGTAACAAAAATCACCCTTGCTTGAATGGCTAGAAATTCAACCAAATGTCTAGGGGGTTTTGGGTTCAAATCCCCACAAAGGCATGTTTTGGAAAAAAACGCAAGAAAAAACACCTCGGCAACTGGTTCGACCGACCGGTTCTTTTTAGTTCGATCGGTTCACGGTCCAAATCGGCAAGTTTGGTCTGATCCGGTTTTTAAATACGTGGCAGATGACTTGTTAAAAAAATGCCCAGTAGACCTGCCACATGTCAAAATTCTGTGAGACGAGTCTCAAATATTATAGGATATAAGATATAGGATATAGGATATAGGATATAGGATATAGGATATAGGATATAGGATATAGGATATAGGATATAGGATATAGGATATAGGATATAGGATATAGGATATAGGATATAGGATATAGGATATAGGATATAGGATATAGGATATAGGATATAGGATATAGGATATAGGATATAGCACCAAGTACAAAGAAATGAAAGTCCAGCAAGCAAAAGTAGAAGAATCCAATCAAACACAACACATTATAAAAACATCTGCACCACCGCGCTCCTAACCAGCTACTTTAATCCTAGTCCGCCAAAGGTTCCTATCTAAAGCCATATCCTCAGTCAGGGTGAGAAGTCCTAAATCCTGCCTAATCACCTCCTTCCAATTCTTCCTAGGTCTACCCCTTCCTCTACTTCCCCCGATAACCATGATCCTCTCGCACCTCCGTACAGGGGCATCAGCATCCCGACGTCTCACATGCCCAAACCATCTCAACCTCGCTTCCCGCAACTTATCTTCCACCGGCGCCATGCCTACCTAGGATATAGGATAGGATATTGTATAATACTATAATCTTTACTAGTATCACACCCATGCGTTGTACGGGTCATTTTTATGTTATTAAATTCAAATCATTTTTCAATGATAAGAAATGAAATGCAATAGAATACAGAGATTATATTATTTTAAGATACAAAACATCACTACTTTACAAATTTCGAAATACTTCTTTATAGACTACATTATTTGTACAATTTGTGAGAATATTGTCTTCGTTGCATAACAAAATCTTCAACCCACTATGATTAATTACTCTTGAAACTGCAACATAGAATACGTTGTCCATGACTAAAACATGTTGGATTATTGTTACGGAAACTTGTGATAAACCATAACTGCTCGTAGCTTCATCATTAACACTGATGACCTCTCATCAATATTTTTCAAAACAGTTAAGATCTCTATTTTTCGCAAAAATGACAGTTTTGAAACGTGGAGGAAAAAAATTCATGATGAATGTAATGGCTATGAAAGCTTTGTAAATGGATGTATTTATAATATGATTTTTGCATATGGGGTTAAAAAAATATCCATTTTTTGAAATTTTATTACGAATTTAAATTACTATTACTATATTTAAATTATTTAATTTATTATATTTAAAATTACTATAATTAAAATTAATATTATTGAAATGACACGGTAATTAATAGGGAGCATACAATTATCTAGTCACACGATTATATAATTAATACCTTGGTTAATTATTACCTTTTTTGATTAAAATTATTATAATTAAAATATAGTAAAATATAGTCATTTTAAAATATAGCCACTATAATTAAAATAAAGCCATTATAAAAGTATTATAAAAATACTATAATTAAAATTACTATAATTAAGTTGACATGGTAATTAATATACAATTATGTAGTCACACGGTTATATAATTTATACCGCTGTCAATTATCACCTTTTTTATATTATTACCTATCTTGCTAGTATAATTTCAGACACTTTAAAAATAACAATTAATTATTACCTTCTTGGTTATTACCTTTATCACTATTAAACGTAAATGTATATATTTAAAGGATATTTAATTCTTACAGTAGTTATGGTCCATTTTATATTACTATAATTTTGCACTCTTTAATTTCTTACCATCTTTAAATACTTAACAATTACTATTACCATATTTAAATTATTGAAATTATTATATTAAAAATTACTATAATTAAAATTACTATAATTAAAATGACACGGTAATTAATACGAAGTATACAATTATGTAATCACACGGTTATATAATTAATACATTGGTTAATTATTACCTTTTTTGATTAAAATTACTACAATTAAAATATAGCAAAATATAGCCATTATAAAATATAGTCATTATAATTAAAATATAGAAATTATAAAATTACTATTATAAAATTACTAATATAATTAATTTGACATGGTAATTAACATTTAATTACTATACTTAATTTAACACGGTAATCACATGTATTACTATAATTAACTTGACACGGTAATTAACACTTAATTACTATAATTGATTTGACACGGTTATCACACATAATATATCAATTTAATTAAAATTATTGTCATTAAATTCAAACGTAAGATTCCAATTTTAATAACTTACCTTTCTTGCTAGTACAACTTCGGACACTTTAAAAATGACAGTTAATTATTTAAAAAAAATAATTATATTAACTTCACAGTCACTATTTAATATTATTATAATTTGAGACACTTACCATTTTAACTTCACAATTACCATATGTAATGAAAATAATCTTTGGGCGAAAAAATGTAATATTGACTTCATGTCTTTTTAAATAAAGTATGGACTAGCATAAAGATTGTGGTAGACTCTGGCGTTGTTCGTGTGTCAAAGTTAGAGACTGGACGCTTGAACGGTTACGTTTGCACCTTCCATACTCTTCTTATGATTTCATCGTTTTACCGCTTCAATAGAAAGGTATAAATTTCTTACTTACTATAAGTTTTAGTACGTGATTCTAGGCAAGATAATCATGTTAGGATGTTAAAATTTTTATATTTTGTTGCATATCCTTGCATGGTTACTTTTGAGTGGTATCAGAGCTAGCGTACAAAACTATGATTTTGAGTTTGACATTTTAATTTTTAAAAGTCAAAATTTGAACTTGGTAATTATTAAAATTCAAGAATTGGTAAAATGATTTTTTTTAGTCTTGGAATAAATATTGTACTTAAACATCATTGGAAATAATTTTTCTAAAAAAATTGTTTATTTCTACAATAATATATATAAATATATATATATATGTTGATTTTTCGAAATATATATTTATGTATATTGTAGATATAGTAAATATAATTTTATTTGAACATAAAAAATTATTTTATTATTTATAAAATTATATCGTAATTTTTGAATGCATTATTTTCTATTTTGAATTTATTGTATTTATTTAGGTGAAAACCAAAAATAAATATGGAAAAATTCAAAATAAACTTTATAAAACTTAGAAATATTATTTCTGGATGAAATAAATTTGTTCATAAATATATTGGACAAAATAATTTTAATTAGTAATTAATTAGATATTTATTTCGGTATATATGTATATACATATTACCGAGTAATATATATAAATATATATATATATTTAATTGAAAAATGGCTAATATCATTTTGTAAATTATATCTCAGTAAGAAATAATTAGACTTTTTAAAAATATTAAATTTTATAATTGAATGTTTTTAAAAAATTATTTTAAATTGTTTTTCACAATTATTGAGATATAATTAATATATTTTTGAAATAAATATTTATAAATTTAGGAAATTAATTTTTCAGAATTATAAATTTCTAAAATAGTTACTGGAAGTTGAAATTTAATTTTCATGATTTTCGCAAAATTGTTTCGAAATTTATTTGCCTTTTTTGAAAATAATTTTGCAAAAGGGAATTTTGGTCATTTGAAATTTTTTTTGCTGTCAAATTATCCAGAGTATATAAAATTATTTATATAAAATTTTATTAGATTTATTTGGACATTTAATTAAATTTTATGAGTTTTAGAAAATATTTACTACTATTTTAACGAGATAGAGAGCCAAAAAAAGACGGCTAGGGTTTGTGTTTTAACGAGACTCCAATACCATGAAGAAGAATTATTTTCATTGCATAATAGAGTTGTGATCACATATATTTATACAAGGGGTCTCTATCCTAAATAAGGTAGGAGAGACATAAATAAGAAATCTATACAAAATAAGGTAGGAGAATAATAAAAGTATATTAAATATAAATAATATATTTAACAATATACTCAAGTTAAAATTTTATCTAATTAATATATCACATCATTTGTATTTAATTCGAGATCAAATGTCAAAAATAGTTGACTGTAAAATGTCAAAACTGCATAAATACTTAGGGATGGAGGTAGTATTATTTACTTGTACTCCATATTACTTAGTGGGATTTCTTTTTATTTATAAATAGGTCAAAATTACTTAAAAGTTATTTTTAATTTATAAGTGAGTTGATGATGCATTTCTCTCTTTTTATAAGCTACGTATACCTTAAAAAAATAAATAGGTTTTACCTACATATTTTTAAGTTAATTTTTTTGTTTCTGTATTTTGAACAGATTGTTTACAAAATTATCTCTCACCTATTATGAATATTCACAGAAGACTTATATATCATTTGATTCATTTTACCTACACACAAAAAATATAATATTTAACGTATAAGGAGTTTATAAGTTAAGAACTATTTATCAATAATAAGTCAATAAGCATATGCAGAGAGAAACACCCTTTAATCTCCTTACAATTAGATCAGAGATAATTTTAAATAACAACTACAATTCGATTAGGCAAGACCACATCAAAATTTAAATAACAACTACAATCTGATTTGGCACTGCATATGTATTTTAACTCATATTTCGAGAATAAAAACATGGAACTCTTATTTTGATATATTTTCAATGTTTTTCTTCTACTTTAGTCTTTTTCATACAAATATTCCCTCTTTCCCACAAAATCTTTCTCCTTTCTTTTTTTCATCCGTACAAAAAAATTCTCATTTCTATTAAAAAGTTACTTTTACCATTACTAATTCTTGACCTACCTATCAAATCATACTTTTTTACTACTAATCCACCCATCACATCTACTTTTACCTATCATAACCAAGAGTATTTTTTGAAATTCAACACCAAAATACACTTATCTATCTCTTTAGAATCAAAACAAGAAATGATTTATGGAACTAAGGGAATAGAAGATATCGTGAGATGCCGTAATAACAAAGGCGTAAATCATTTTTGGAATGGAGGTAGAACATTTTTATCTTTTCAATTCAAAAATCAATTGTAGAAACCAATGACAGACTTAGTAAATCAACTAGGGTTGGCGAAGCGCTATTAAAATTTGTAGATCCATACCCAGTATACAATATGCAGCGGATAGAAAAAGATCGATGCCTTTTGCACTCAATAATCCAAGCAGACGACTTCTTATATTACAAAGACGACGCAGATCTAACGCCATCTCCCACATCTATCAAATCTCTGATAATCAACCCCATCTCCAGCATCCCAAAATCTCTGATAATCAACGCTGTGTCCCACATCTCTTATTTGAGTTATTTCTCCGGTAATCCATGCCATCTTAATTGTTTTTTTCCAGTAAGCATCTCTCGTCAATCTAAAGCTTTGGTCTTCAATATCATCTTTTTTGCACTTAGAGACAGAGAGAGAAAGTGATGGCCACTAATAAAGCTCTAATTTGGTCTCCAGTTGCACCGCGGGTAAAGTAGCTGAAGAACTGGCCGTAAATCTTCCGTCATCTACACACCACAGTAAGCGTCTGGCGCAATCTACATCTAGGGGAAAGTTAGCTCTTTTATTTGGGGCAATTTGCAATTGTACTTCTCCGATCTCCAATTTATTCTAGGTATTTTACTCTAATCATTACTATTTTATTGACTGGTACACAGTTAAATATTTGGAAAGAGATTATGTGTTCACAGCTTATAATTTCTGTAAACCCTAGGTATGTACACATTAAAGTATGCTTCTTAATTTGTGTTAAATTCAAGGATTTATACACTCTATATTGTAATGACACACTTTTAGATGCAATAGTTACATTACTTTTTATTGGGCCAAAAAATAAATATT